CTCACTGGTTCCCTCGCGGGGCTGGGTGGTTTTAGTGGAATGAACTCAGGGCCAGGAGACTGGAGCCTTGGGTTCCTGCTTTATCATAAGCTAGATCTGTGCTCATGGGCAAATCATTCACCCACTTGCCACCACTTCCTTTGTCTGTAAAATGAGGAAGAGGGACTTGAATATTGCTAAGGTACATTGCAATACAAACAGCCTAAGATGCTAGTTGCCTAGACCTGAAGAACTCACTGGAAGGTAGGACTGATGCTGGAAATAACAAAACCATAACAATGAACCTAAAACAAATGTGGAGTCTATAGGAGAAGAATTCCTCCTCTCAAAATCCCAACCCCCTAATGTCTTTGTCCCTCCCCTGAAAGTAGAACATTCTAGACAATGAAGGAGGATTCCCCCACCCCAGGGCTCTGAATTGCTAGTAAGTTACCTGCTTCCTAGGAGGGGAAAGTGTGGAATGGAAACAGAAAGCCCCAGCACTGCCCTGCCCTGGCTCCACACCATGGATCCTAAGTGCCTGGGCTGCCTGTTAGGGAAAAGAGCTGTTTCTCCCTTTTCCAAGTAAAAGCAATTATCACAGCAATTATCTGGTTGGTTGGGTGAGTCTTTAGGACCTCAGACCCCAGGGGCTCCGTGTCAGGGTAATCAGGTCACTTTTACCCATGCTGCTACCTAGAAATCCACGAGATTCTGGGCCCTGACTGGCCACCGAAGGAGAAGCCTGGAGGAGTCTGACCTTGGTGGCTGATCAAACAACTACTACAGCCCAGAGTGTTCTTATGCTTCATTGTGAAGTCCAAAGACTTCCCTTTCTCCTGGAGGTACTCCCAAGCTCTCCAATTAAGTCCTGTAGCCCAGCCCAAGTTGGGAAGGAGGGGAAACTTGACCCAAGGACCCATGAGAGGATGGAAAAACTGCCCCTTTGGGTCCCTCCCTCAGCACCCTCCACCAGGCAGCCCATGTGTACCTCTCCCTCCCTTCCAGCCACTGGGTATGCTAGTCCTTCTTCCTGAAAGACTTCTTCTTGGACCCACGGCCAAAGAAAAAAAGCCCTACAAAAGGCTTCTAGTACTATGAAACTCCTGCAGGTTAGGCTGGGGCAGGTTTTCTGTACCCAACCTGTCATTAGAGGGCATTTCAGGGTTTAAATGTTAAAAAATATTTATCAGCTATCTTCTTTGTGCTTCACCTCAAACGCAAGGTTATTTTAAAGTTCAGATTTTAGATCCCTGAGTCTGAGAAGTGCCAGGGAGTTGGGAACAAGCAGATTTTCTTACAAAGAACAGCCATGCAAGATCAGGGACCCTTCTTCCAAGCCCAAAACCCATCCACATCTTCCAATACAGGCAGTAAAGCTCCCACACCATAAAATCATAGTGACAGAAAGGCTCTCATAGATCATCGAATCCAACTTCATCTCACTACAGGTGAAAGGATTAAGGGAGTGCAAAGAGAAGTACAGTGGCATGCTTAGTGTCACACAATTAATTTAAGACCAAGCCAGGATCGTAACCAGGTTTTTCCTCAAAATAACTTTCTAAATGAGTTGAATACTATTTTCTAAGTGAACTGCAAATCATTCGTCAGAATGTTCTAGTAATATCCAAATCATTTGTTGATTTGTAGAAATGTTTTTCAGAAAGTGTTGGTATGACTGTTTGACAGGGATGCCACCAGCTAACTGATACTCCTGAGCCATGGTTTTGATAGAGGAAACTGCCTCAAACTTTTCCAATGACTTCCCCATTGAATCAACAGTCATTGGGACCTGGTCCCTTGTGCGCTGTTAGAACTGGAAGATGGCTCAGCACACTGCACACTTTAGAACTGGGTACGTACTCCTGCGTGTCAGCATATCCCACGGGGACCTGCAGAGCCTACACTGCAGGGACAATGCCACCTTCAACACTGCCACTACCAGAAATGCCACCGTTACTGCCTGCCCCACCACCTGCTTTGCTGCCACTCTCAGAGCTCTGCTGCTGTAGAGCAGTGAGTCAACAGACCCCTGCCATCATGTCATGATCTACTACCTGTATCACCCTAGCACCACTCTGCAGCCTCTGTGGGGTGACGCCAGCAGCCATGATGAAATCTCCAAAGTGGGCTTAAATGAATGAGCTTGTTTTAGATTAATTATATTATTAATTAAGTTTAATGCTTAACCCAATTACTATTTGCCAGCCAATATTTTATAGCAAATAATCTTTTAAAATATGTGTTGATATTTTAACAATTGGCTCTATACCAGATCTGTTTATAACCCCATTCTCCTGGCTTAAGTCCAAGATGCCATCTGTTTATACCATGTGACCAACCTATGGGGAAAACTTAACTGGCCAAGAATTTCCATCTTTCAAGAAACACCAATAAGGACTTCTAAAAAGCCACCCATAAATCCATAAACATGTGTTTATTATATACCTACCCTATGTTAATCAGCGTGCATGCCCTAAGACTCCACGAACCCCAAACTTTGTGATCAGATCCTTTAACACAGATTACAATTTCCCATTGCTTGTCTCTAGCTTACCTTGATAAAATAGAAGACATGGAAGAGAGAAGGATTAGTTCTTCAACATACCTCAAATATGCTATGTTCCTATAAAGATCTTTGCAAGTCAAGACATTTATTTCTTCTTCCCTGGCAGAAAGAGCCAATAGAAATAGTTGACAGCAGGAATAGGGAGAAAATGTTTTAAAGATAACTTTACTGTCTTCAAACAGCTCATTTCCTGCCGGAGGGCTACCACAGTGTCCTCTCACACAGATGGCTAGCTCTTTTGGTGTATTCATGAAAATGCCTTCATGTCATTCCAGTCTCTGTGAATGTGCCTGGCACCAAAACTTTCTACCATTCTGCACACACACAGCAACACTTCCTCAGAGATCTAGTCAGGGAGATGACAATGGGCTTGTTACATTGAGCAGGAAGCAACCACCCTTCAACCAGGTGAGAGGAACACAGAGGAGAAAAATGAAAGACTGGTGAGTCAAAATTCAGATCTGAGATGTACCAACTAAGCTCATTACAAGAAAGTAGTAAGACACTGGGTTTATTAAACGATTAAATCTTTGATTTTAAGGTGTTTTGATTATACTTCCTTTTCAGGTATGAAGACTATCCCACGGAGACGGAATTCTTGTGAGGGGAAAAGGGTGAGAATGTTCACAATGTACCCTCATGCTATAGGAAAAGGACAAAATAAAAATGTCCTCAAAAATCCAAATACAGCACGCAGCAACTGGAACTCTCATATGCGACCATGGAGGGGCAAATGGGTGAAAGCCCTTTGGAAAACTCTTTGGCGGTATGTAGAGAAGCAACTGTATGTGACATATAACCCAGCAATTACACTTCTAGGTGTACACTCCAAAAGGCTGAGTACACACTTCTACCAAAAGACCTTTACGAGAATGATTATAGCAGATTTATTCATAATGGACGCAAACTGGAAACAATCCACATTCCCATCCACAGTACACTGGATAAATAAAATAGTCAAACAAAGTAACATTATACAACAATGAAAACAAACAGCTGCCAACTGCATGCAATGAACATCACAAACACCACACTGAATGAAAGAAGCCAGACACAAAAGAACATTTAGGCATCATCTGCTTCCACTTATATAAAGTACAAAAACAGGCAAAATTAATCTATATTGTTAGAAAGCAGGATAACAATTAGCCTGGGGTGAGGGTGGGGAGAAGTGGCTAGAAAGGAGCGCGAGGAGAGCCTCTGACGTCTGGTGAGGTTCTGTTTCTTAATCTGGATCCTGCTGATGGATGTATTCGGTTTGTAAAATTCATCACACTAAGCACCTATACTATGGGTACTTTCCTATATTTATACTTGTGTCCACACGAGAAATGGATGGCAGTCCTCCCTCCCCCTTCCCTGTACTCAGGCCTGTCCCAGGTAACTCTTTATGCCCGCCCACTCTGATGCTGGGCGTGGCCACGCCATTTGCTTTGGCCAATGAGATCTCAGCAAATATGACTGACGCATCGGCTTGAGAAATGCTGCACGTCTCTGCTTCTGCTCTTGCTCGTGTGCAATTTCCATGAAAACATATCCACTCTAATCTGCTGGAAGAGAGCACAGCCAAGGTGCCCTGTCGTCAGAGCCAAGGCCATCCTAGACGAGCCAATAACCAGCTGACTCCCAGATATGTGCAGGAACCCAGAGATCAGAACAACAGTTCAACCAGGCAAAGTCACCAGCACTACACAGGTCATTAAGAGGCACTGCTGTGTAATAGACAAGTGACAAAACTATACGCTTCAATTTAAAGTTAAAACATACATCTAATTTTTTTAAAATTGGGGGAAACGAAAAGATTTCTCTTCGCGCATCTATTTTTGAGTATGGCCACACCCAGTAGGAAAGACTGCCAAGATCCGGCAAGACCAGGGGGATCCCAAAAGCACAACGTGACATCCAAGTAAAACGCAGGCCTGAACCATAGAAAAATAACTGGAAACCCAATCTGCAGAGGTTCTAGAAGACATCTAAAAGTTCTCTCCTTCTGTTTCCTAGAAGATGCAGAAGCATATGGCTGCTTCTTCCACTTCCCTTTCTTTCTTTTTTTTTTTTTTTAAATTCCCATTCCTTCCACTCTACTTGATATCAGGAGCCCTTTCACAATAGTCAAGACGTTACATAGACACAGGACATTAGTTTCTGATTCTGCTTTGGACATGTTATATCATGAAAGTAGAAGGAAGGAAGGAAGGGAGGAAGGGAGGAAAAGAAAGAAAGGAAGGAGGGAGGAAGGAAGGAAGGAAAAGGAAGGAAAGAAGGAAAGAGATAGAGAAAGGAAGGAAGGAAGATAGAGAGAGGGAAAGAAAGAAGGAAAGAAGAAAAGAAAAGTAAAGAAAAAAGAAAGACCCTGTGGATACCCTTGGCAGGGCCTTTCCCAAGATAAACATTGATGGACTTGAATGTCCAGCTGGTCTTCTAGCATGTGGCTGAGCAATGGCTGTGTTACCTGGATTAACCTGAGCTTTTGCAGAACTCAAGATGGGCAGCAGCAGGAGCAGCACCAAGGGCATCCTGGGAACGGAGGTCAGCTCAGAAGATGGTGTTGGAACTGGAGCCTGCAGCCCACCAAAAAATGCGAGAAAACAAGAAAGAGGAGAGGAAATGAGTGAGACAAATACCATCAACATGAATGAATATGATTTTTAGGATTATATTTGTGTTCTTAGAGTCTTTATCTGGGACTTCAAATCACAGACTTTGAGAATCAAGTGGGACATTCAAGAGTCACATGATGTAAGAATTCCCAAACTCTATTAGGTCATGGGATTAAAATTAGCAAAACTATAGGCAGGTAACAAAGTTTTACTACAATACATACTTACCCAAATTGTGAATGGTGATAAACTAGAACTTACATTTATGAAGTTTTCATAATTTTGATACTGATTCCAATATTAAACCAAGAAAAACATTCAATTATGTTAATGCGTTTGCCTTTCAAAAGATCTAAGGTCAATATTTATCAGTACCTGGGATTCTGTATCTTTAAATTTCCCCAAATGACCTGTGTGGTAAGGGCTTAGAGTTGAGACATTAGTATGAACTCATGTTCAGCTTAACAGAGATATATATGGTTACATATGGAACATTTAAAGATATGGCATATATAGAGGTTAGTATACACACAAGTGTCTCTTTGCTGTATCAGCCCAGAGGGCCTAGAAGCCAGACACCACAACAGCAGCAAGTAAGTCTGGTGCCGCCATCTTGGTTTTTAATACCATTTTCCAATAAAAGAAACCAGAGTTCCCTGGAGAAGTGGCTGATCCCAGGCCTGGGGTAGGACACATACAGAATCTTTTAGTGACAGAAATCGAGAAAGTATACACCCAGAAAAATGATGGGGATGTATCAAAGGGACACAGGAACCAAGTGAAAGAGTTCCCAGTGGTCAAAGCTGGAACAATGTGAGTGACAAAATACATAAAGTAGTTTTGGACTATAACTCAAGGTATAAGAAATATCTACAAGTCCATGTTGATATAAACAAATGATTGAATAAACAAATGGGGGAGAACAGAAGAATTTCCCGTTCAAAAGAATTGTAAATAATTTATGCAGACACTTGGCTCTTAAAGAGGTGGCACATAACCTCACCCCTTAGGGTGAACTACACACAGTGACTTTCTCCCAAAGAGCCCAGAATGGAAATGGAGAAAGGAACTTTTCAGTGGAGAAACTTGATGAATACCACCTCAAGCCAGGTGATGGAGGTTAACCTCACCTTTGATAAGTCATATTGACACAACATCTCCTGGATATGATGTGATGAGAATGGCACTTAGCCCCTGTGATCGTCCTCCTAAAAACTCATTACCTCAGTCTAATCATAAGAAAAACATCAGACCAATCCCAATTTAGGGACATTCTACAAAATTCCTATTGAGTCATCCCCAAAACTGTCAAGATCACAAATACAAGAAAGTCCCAAGAAACTGTCTGAGCTAAGGGAGCCTAAGGAGATATAACAACCACATGTAACATGGCATCCTCGGTGATGATCATGGAACAGATAAAGGACATCAGGGGAAAACTGAGGACATCTGAATGAAGTACAGACTTTAGTTAATAATAATGTATCAACAATGGCTCTTTCACTATGACAAAGGTACTGTACTAATGTCAGATGATAATAATAGGGGAAACTGGGTGTTGGGTAAACAGGAATTCTGCATTTATTCTGTAAGTATAAAACTGTTCGAGAATAAAAATTTTATTCAAAAGTTTCCATCAGGTAACACTAATCATCAGCAAGATATTGGATCTACTGTTATAAATAATACATAATTATAAAGGGAGACAAAATCCCATTCAGCTAGGGTGATTAAAGAAGGCTTCATGGAGAAATCTGATCTGATCAGGTTCTTGAAGGCTGAGTAGGATTATAATGGGCTAGAGTGGGGATGGAGTAAATAATACGCTAACAGAGCCAAGACCCCTTTTGAGGAAACAGAAGCTTTCTATGGTATTTTCTAGGCAGTAGAACTCTGACCTGCCCTCCTCAAAAAAAGTCATTAAAAAAAAAAAAAAAAGCAGATATTCAGATGCCTGAAAAGGATGGAGCCAAAACTAATCAAACACACAAGACTAAAGTGGTGAGGGTCAGGGGTGGTTTCATGGCATTGATTGGATGGGCTAAAATATGTGTCTCCCAGTGTGCCTCGTCACTGCCAGCAGCAGGAACACAGTGTTTCCATAAATGAGTCGCCAAACTAATATGCCCAAGAAAGAAACACAGGCAGATCTTGGAGACATTGGTTGTGGCTATAATCCAACACTGGCCATGGCCATGATCCACGATGTCCTTCCACAAAGACCCAAGCTCCTTGCGTGCAACCATTCAGCCTTGCAAACCCTGCCTTGGCTAACCACCCTCTCCCTTTGTAGAGGAGTCCTACAATTCTCTCTTGTGGCACCTTTCTCATGAGTTGTGGGCCATGACTTTCTCCCCTCTATAACCTTCCCCAGTGGTTCCTTCTATGAGGAATGTCTTTCACACCTCACTCCTTTCACCTAAACACACACTGATTTTGCCTCCATTAGGTGTTCCATAACATAGTTATAAAATGATCCATGTAGTCATTACCTTCAAAATAGCTTATTCTTGTATCTCCAAAAGAATATATTTTGTACAAAGCAGGTACTAAAACATGGTTTTTAACTGAACGAAGCAGAACTCACTGGATGCTCAAAATTTTTTGACTGAATTTCCTTTTGGAAACTGTTACTTGGTTTCAGGCTGTGAATCTCCAAAACAAGTGATTATTTCTGCTTTGCTTGCTGAAAAGTAAGGTGTCAGCAGCTAAAAACACAGAAGAACAGAAGTACTCTAACTCTACCATGGATCTCTAACATGTGCCAAAGAGTCTCTCATCTAATATTCACGGTAACCCAATGAGGTTAGTTTTCATCAGCAAGGTAATTGAGGAGGAAGAGGTTAAAACTGATCCGGTTACACAGTTGACAGGTGCCAAAACTCATGTGAACCTAGGGTTTGTATTACTCCAATATCCACATAGGTTTTGTTGTTTGTTTTGTCTTTGTCATCATACTACACTCTCCTTTGATCTGGCCTCTCCCGACGTCACCAGAGCTACACTCCTCAGGACTTCTGCCAAAATGCTTCATGCTCTCTTTGTCTGGATCAAACCTCCATTCGACAGTCACTTCCTCCGTAAAATACTCTCTGGCCCTCTTACTTGTTACATGCACTAAAAGCTTCTTATTATTTTTCTAAATAGAAATGATCCTAGTTTCTAATTATGTATTCATTGCCGTCATGTCTAATTAGGGTCTTCCTCACCCCCCACCCCCATAAGTTCCATGTTTATTCTACTCACCATTGCTTTCTCAACACCTACCAGAGTGCTAGATAAATATTTGCAGCATGAATTAATGATTGCCTTAAGTCACATATTCAGTGACTACATCTGGCCACACTAAATTCCACACCCTGAAAGGAAATGTACCCAAGGTTTATGATAAGCATACATCACCCTTTTCTGCCCCTTTGAGTGAGTTTTTCCAAGGGTCCATATTTAAGCAATGTGACACGTGAAAGGAACCCACAAACATACATGGAAGAACTTCAAGGAGGTAGAAAGGCCCTTCTGTACTATTAACCAAAGAACTCTTTGGTTAATAGTACAAATTCCTTTGACAATTTATTCAAGCTTTGAAAATAAAGCTCAAACTGCAAATATCACCAGTCAGGGGGTGTTCTTTCATCCATTTTTCCAGTAACTGTTCTCTAAGTGTCTACAGGTGCTATTCCACATGCTAAAAAAGGCAGCTTGGAGCTGTCCTCATGGAGCATGTAATCTACAAGCAAACAAGGAAATAAGTAAAAATTCTAAAGGGATATATGTGCCATGAAGAAAATACAGTGGGGTGAGGTGGTAGAGAGTGAATGAGGGCTACTTCAGGTAAGGTGGTCGGGAAAGCCCTGAGTATGGGATTGGCACAGAAATATATAAAGGGAACAATGAAGAGAATAGGGACCCAGTAAAGACTCATATATGAATGGGAACTTACTATACCATATAAGGGGTATTTAAAATCAGGGAAATGGTTCATCTGTATTCAGAAACAAATAAAGGTATATCCATAACTCACACATAAAAAAGAATGCCCAAAATGTAGAAGTAGAACTCTAACAGTATTTCAAGAAAGTATAGGAGCATTTGCTAGAAGCTCACTGTAAGGAAGGCCTACACAAATGAGGCAGAAAACAAAATCCAAAAACAAAAACAAATGATAAAAATCTCCATCAAAATGTTAAATGTCTTTGAGAACAAAAGCATCATAAACTTAACAGCAGGCTAAGATAGTTATTTGATGTTTTATAACAAAATAATAACCTATGCTCCATATATTCCACTTATTATTAGTTACCCTAGAGAGAGACTTACGTATCTGCACAATGAGTGTGTGTACAAAGAATGGCTTTGCAATATTTTTTAAATTTTACTTTATTTCATTGTGGTAAGAACACTTAACATAAGATCTACTCTCTTAACAAATTTTTTAGTACTCAATACATTATTGACTGTAGGTACAATGTTGTACATCAGATTTCTAGAATTTATTCATCTTGCTCAATCTTAATTTTATGCCTGTTGTCCTGGCAACCACCATTCCACTCTCTCATTAGATAAATTTGACTATTTTAGATCCCTAATATAGTAGAATTATGCAGTATTTGTCTTTCTGTAACTGGTTTATTTCACTTAACATAATGTTCTAAAGGTTCATCAATGTTGTTGATATTACAGAATGTCCTTCTTTTTAAAGGCTGAATAATATTCCATTGTGTGTATATACCACATTTTTTATTCATTCATGTATCAATAGATATCTAGACTGTCTCCACATCTTAGCTATTGTGAACAGTACTGCAATGAATGTGGGAGTGCTCATACCTCTTCAAGGTCCTGATTACAATTCTTTTGGAAAAATACCCAGAGGTGGGATTACTGAATTATATGGTAGTTCTATTTTTAAATCTTTTAAGGAACCTCCATACTGGTTTCCATAGTGGCTGTGGCCAACTTAT